TGACTGACCCGCGGGAGGCGGTCATATGGCGCGGTCACATTGCCATTGGGGCGCATGGGCTGTAGTTGCCACCCAAGGCGCCGCCCATATCTCGGCCAAATAACTCGTCCGGATCACCGAACGAATAGATTATCGTGGTTGATCGGTCTGCAATGGAGCGCGCCAGAGTAGACTGGACTGCAGAGCCTCCCAAGTTCACCATTCTCGACTCTTCTTCCGGCTTCATTCTTGCGCTGAGTTCGCTCTGCACACTTCAACTATTGGAATGACTGTAGAGTTACTTCGAAGTGATTGTATCACGATCATTTTGGAACTGTGATACATTGCACTTCCAGCAACTTACAGTGGATGACAACAATTACTATACGTGGTAAGTATTGTTAAGTCTTTTTCTGTTCAGGGAACAGTATTGGAAAGTCTATTGCTTTGACTAAACTAGGCGCTTTTTTTAGGAACCATTCTTGAAACCTATTCACAATGGCCTTTTTGTGTACGAACCATCTAAACCTAAACAGTACTACGGTTGATCAGCTCACTTGGAGTCTTCAGCTGCAGTTTTATTATTTCTCATCCCTTTTTGTTATTTTGCCATCACCTGCGATCCCACTTCACTAACTTGTTCGGTGTAATATTCTCGAATTCACCCCTCTTTGAGTTCTTTGGTGAATTTCTATGTCCTGCCTCACCTTTTGAGAATGACACTCATCAGTAATTATTACTAGAGGAGACAATAAAACGTGCAATGTTGCACATGATATGCCTAAGGGACTCGCAAGGACACAGAGATTGGGATGAGATATGCTTTTGGCAAAGTAGTCCAATCAGATTAGAAAAACGAGCTGCTGTTGTTTCGAACGCTTTGGGTCTTTTCCAACAGGGGCATGTGGTGCGGTTTTTGTACTGCGTACAGTGCAAGGGGAAACCCTCAAGGTGCGTGGGTCATTTCTCTTCCATTTTAACATCCCAGAGCTCCTCACCCTGCAAAATTTCTGTGTGGTCAGAATAGCACGTCGACATAATTTTCCCTTTCTTTCACGCATAGTTAGACAAAATCTATAACGGCATCCTTATCTTAGAAAGCTATAAGAAATAAACCAGCAAAACTGCTTAAATAATATCATATTCATGCACGGTGATTGATTCTCACGCATTCATCAATTAGCAGAAAATCAAGGAGTCTCAATACTTATCTCACAGCTTTCGGGAGAAGCAAATCCAAAAAACCACTGCTGGTGAAGTCACAACGAAACTTGGATACATGAAACTTGGATACCAACCCACAATGAAACTGTTTTCTGAACAAAAAAAAACTGAACAATAGTTACCTACCTCGTATCGGAATTATTGTCATCCACTGTAAGTTGCTGGAAAGTGCAATGTATCACAGTTCCAAAATGATCGTGATACAATCACTTCGAAGTAACTCTACAGTCATTCTAATAGTTGAAGTGTGCAGTGCGAATTCAGCGCA